AATGGCATAGTTAGTATATATTCAAAATCAAAATAGGGATGTGACTAGTCATATGACACAAAACCTCCCACTTCTATGCTAGTAAACTCACTCAGGCTTGAAAACTACACGATGAATCCAAGGACTCATTGTCTACATTTTAATTCAGAACATTTTAGTTGTCGTAGGATAAATAAAATAGAAGAAATAATGCATAATATAAATAGCAAGGATAAACGAGTGGAAAATTGGATGTGCTGCATGGCTGAAACATCTACTACTTAGGGGGCAGCCTTTGGACATGAACTTGGAGGTCCAGAAGATGCTAGCTAGACTTATTAATTAATTAATTATTTTATTTTATTTTATTTATATACCGCCCTTCTCCCGAAGGACTCAGGGCGGTGAACAGCCATAATAAAAACAACGTACAAAAATAGAATTTAAGAGCAGATTAAAATAATTAAATCATGGGCCGAATTTAAAACTCTCGTTTTAAAACCAATTTGAAAACCCCATTAAGACCAAATTAAAACCATTTATCCCATCAGAGCGGCTTGCTGGAATAACAGGGTCTTCACTGCACGATGGAAGGCGCGGAGGTCGGGGATCCTTCATATGTCCGGGGGCAATTCATTCCAGAGGGCAGGGGCCCCCACAGAGAAGGCTCTCCCCCTGGGGGTCTCCAGTCGACATTGTTTGGCTGATGGCACCGAAGAGGCCCTCTCTGTGTGAGCGTACCGGTCGGTGGGAGGCAATCGGTGGCACAATGCGGTCTTGTAGATAGCCAGGTCCTAAGCCATGACTTCATTGGAAGCTAACACCATTATTAAATTCACTACACTAGTAGGCTTTCAGATCAAATACAAAGCTCCATTGTAGGAGAAGACGTGGCAGAACCTGGAGGCGGAGTCAAAAGAGGAATCAACCTAGAATCCCTACATAGCTACAAAGGGACTATGTCTTGCCTCTTGAATACCACTGACCTGTATCTAATTCCAAAATAGTGCTGCTAGTTGAGAGTATTCCTGGGCATAGGCATGGGTAGTAATTAATCACTCTAATTGAAACTTCAGAAGCGATCCTGGTCTTTCGCACCTGACATCTATACAATATAGCAGTGTGGGCAACATCAGGCAGCAACAGTGTATATATGTTTATCTAGTAACCTCATGAGAAGGCCTTCTAAGAATCCTTCAGATGAGGTTAGGGATAGCTGGATAAAGTAGCAGGTTTTTCTGATGAGAGACCCCCTACTCTTTATGTTCATTGCCCCCAGAAGTACATGCAGACCCTCCCCCTCAGTGTCAACTCTCGAGTTGCAATAGGCCAAGGGGGGGATGGGAAACCGGTGAAACAGCACGGCAGCTAAAGACAGATGCACATTACATGCTTATCTCTCTCAAGGCTGTATCCCAGGGTTACCCACAGCAGCCAAAGTGGAGTGACCTCTACAACCCGCGAAATTGCTCCATTGGCGAATGTGATTGATGACACATCCTGGGGGGAGGGGGGAAACAGGGACGTAAATTAATGTAGGGTCAGAGCTGGCTTCCCTTGGGAACGTGCCGACATGAAACTCCTAATAAACACCTGGTATTTTGTAAAGCCATCAGAACAATCCTGCTCATCTGAGCTTTTAACCCATGTTGATTGTTTAGCAGCAACCGTGTTGGAGTAGTTATTCATTCAATGCCTGTTTATGTTTACTCTGCTGCACATCACTACTTAATATCTGCAGATTGGAATGGCTGGCAAGCAGGGTAAAATAAATGCATAAAACCTAATTTATTTATGGATAATATTGAAGGAATTCTTATGCTTGCTCCATGCACAAATGGCAACTCCAGGCAGCTAACATAGGATTTACAAATACAGCCAATGAAGATAAAAATCTGAGGAAAAAAGAAAATGAAGACTTGGCAATGAAACACATCAGAGGTTTACCTAAGAGCAAGCCTAATTGAATTAAATGAGATTTCTCCCAAGCCAGGAACCATAAAGTTGCAACCCCAAAATTGCAAAAAAGCCACAAACGGAATTATACATTAACGAAAGAGTCTGATACTGTCTTTTGCAAACATGGCTTGTGATGAAAACCCAAGATTTGTTCTTTGAAGATTAATGACACTTGCCAAATCTGAACTTGGCATGGACATTGAGTTCTTCTCTACATTTTCTCAAGGAATACTTTAATTGCTTGATGCCTTCTGCTGGACTTCAGATACCACAACACTGCCCTCTCCTGTCCCCACTTCTGGTCTTCCTGGGTGAAGACGCCTTGCCAAAATGTGAGTCAAAACTCTGAATATAATTTGAGAATTATAGTCCATTGGCATCCTTCAGTCTCAAGAGACTATGGTATTGTGCTCTGGAAAGAAGTCCTAAAACAGATCCTAAATTTTAGGACCTAAAATTTTAGGTCCTAAAATTTGAGAATTCTAGTATTTCTACATGAAACCCTCTGCCACCCAACTAGACTTTCAATTTGAACTCAACTGGTCCTAAATTTTAGGACCTAAAATTTTAGGTCCTAAAATTTGAGAATTCTAGTATTTCTACATGAAACCCTCTGCCACCCAACTAGAGGACTTTCAATTTGAACTCAACTGGTCCTAAAATTTTAGGACCTAAAATTTTAGGTCCTAAAATTTGAGAATTCTAGTATTTCTACATGAAACTCTCTGCCACCCAACTAGACTTTCAATTTGAACTCAACTGATAGTTCAGGCCTAGCTATAAAATAAACACCAGTGTGGTTTCCTTACCATTTCCCCCCTCTTATATTTCAATTAAAAGGGGGAAAAAAAAGGGGGGGGAAAACTATGGCGACAATTTCCTAGAGAGGTAAACATCCGACTCGCTGCTCCTTTTCTCCTGAAAGTAAACACGCTCACCGCAAGGAATTAAAGACAGAGGGAAAGAATGATGATGGGATAGCAACAAAGCGTGACCTTTCATTTTTACTTGGCCTTAATCTGAAACACCAATTACACCCTAGGCAAATGATAAATATATAAAAAAAGAAGAGAACCCACGTTAGCCGACTCCCATGACATGCTAAATTGTCACTTCCTCTTGCTTCTAATTTTAACTCACACAGTTAAAGTAGGGTTGGTGTTGTGCATTTTGGACCTTCTTCCTCTTTGCTTGTGGTAAGTTACACCCCTAACACAAGCTTCCTCTCCAGTTCAAACTTTTTTTCTTCTTCTTCTTCTGCCTCACGGAGAAGAATATAATTGGCTCTTAGGAAGGTTACCTCACACTGGAAATGGAGCTGTGATAGACACTCATGTGATTTATGAAAAGACTGGGACAAGAATACATGAAAGTGGTTGACAACTTTGTTCCTTTTTCTCATAAGGCACCTTAAAATGTTGGTGATAAGACAGATTTCACTGGAACTTAAAGATGATTTGGATATTAGTTGTTCTCATTAAATCAACCAAGATCATTCCAGACTGGAAATTACTTCTCCCAAGTAGTAACATTCTAAGATGTATCTGAATAGAAATGGGTTATTTGAGAAGGAATCATGTTGTAGGTCCACAAATGCAATAGCTGCTTTTTACATAAAAATCAGGGGTGAAATCCAGCAGGTTCTGACAGGTTCTAGAGAACCGGTAGCGGAAATTTTGAGTAGTTCGGAGAACCGGTAGTGGAAATTTTGAGTAGTTTGGAGAACCGGCAACTACCACCTCTGGCTGGCCCCAGAGTGGGGTGGGAATGGAGATTTTGCAATATCCTTCCCCCAGGAGTGGGGAGGGAATGGGGATTTTGCAGTATCCTTCCCCTGGAATGGGGTGGGAATGGAGATTTTGCAGTATCCTTCCCCTGGAGTGGGGAGGGAATGGGGATTTTGCAGTATCCTTCCCCTGCCACGCCCAACCAAGCAACACCCACAAAAGCCACACCATGCCCACGAAGCCACGCCCACAGAACCGGTAGTAAAAATATTTGGATTTCACCACTGATAAAAATGTTACATAAAAATATTTACATAAAAAAAAAAAGCAGAAATCATATTTAGCCGTCCTTCCTCTTTTAGTAACATTCTGGAGAAAGAAACTGCTGCTTTGCAGTTGCACAGTTCCTTTGAAAGGAAAGCAAATGTGCTAATTTCATTGTCCAATAACAGGTTGGGAGAGTAAGAATGAAAAAATAAAAATAAAAAAAAATACCCACATATGTGTGACAGGAGGTGGGACAACAGGACAGATGGTGAAGTATCTAGTGATGTTGAGTGCAGGCACAAAGCATTTTGTCAAAGGGTGTCTTCAACTGTGACAATGTAATTGACCAGGAAGCATATCCATGTGAAAAATAAAGACAATTTTGGAAGCTTCTATAATCAAAATACCGTACCGTAATTTGATTATTTCAAGTTGGAAGTTACGTAGAATAACTTTTTTCAACCGAGCGCTGCAACAGAGTAAATGAGAATATTAAACGTTTGAGGGAACTAGGTATGTCTAGTCTAATGAAGAGAAGGCTTAGGGGAGGCATGATAGCTGTCTTCCAGTATTTAAGGGGTATCACAGAAAAGAGGGGGTTGAACCTACTCTTCAAAATACCTGAAGCCAAGACAAAAAGTAATGGGTGGAACCTGGTTAAAGAGAAATGAAGCCTAAAATTAAGGAGAAATTTCCTGAGAGAGAACAATTAATCATTGAAAAGGTTTACCTCCAGAAGTTGTGGGTGCTTCAACTTTTGGAGAGATGGAACAGCCATTTGTCTGTGTATAGAGTCTCCTGCTTGAGGAGACCTCCAATGTCCCTTACAATCCTATTGTTCTATTTTTAAATTGTTTCTAATCTGCACATTTCCAACTTTGCAGTCGTCCGTTATTGATTTATCCATTTGTGTCGTGTGCTATCCTGAAGGGTCTGTCGAATCATATACAGGGACAGTAGTTCCTCAAAGGAAAAAAAAAATATTACAATATAATATGAAGCTTATGCCCAATTTCAGTGAGATTCCATTTCCCAATTGTGCAATAAAAAAAAAGCTTGAGAAAGCAATGGTGAAATGCTCTTTTTAATTGAATGCTGCAATAAATGGCAGGTATTAATTCAAGGGTGCAACAACATGGATGCGTACTTGCAACGAATATGTAGCCTGGGAAGGGAAATCATGAATGGAAGTGCCATAAAAGAGTATAAGAAGGTAATTTGATGCCCATTAAATATCTAAAACAAAAGGCTGAGACATGTGTAGTTATTGGTCATGAGTAGGCTATGGACGTTCCAATAGTAAATAGCATAAAGGTAAAAAATGATATATGCAGTGTTCATCTTCATTTTAGATGTCAAAAGGGTTTTGTGGCTCCCGGTGTTTTCTTTTCTATGGGAAACGGATCCAAATGGTTCTTTGAATGTTTAAGGTTGCCGATCCCTGCCCTATATATATATATATAATCATAGTTGGATAGAATTTTAACAGAAGACACATTCGGCAGAAATCTGAGCTGGTAAGCGGCCATGTTTCCGTGTTTAAGGAATGATTATAGGTTGGTGGCTATATTGTCCCTTTGCTTCCAGGCTAATATGAAAATACATACATATTTAACTTTTAAGGCCATAAAGGTTCTGCAGTGAATGTGTTACATTTTCTGTGATATATGTGGTGGAATGCTAGGGACGACTATGTCATCGTAGTAATGCCAGTAATGGATCCTAAAATAAAATCATCGCCAGCCGTATAAAGCCTACTGATCGTGCAAAAATCCAGCCCATGCTTGTTGAATGAAGAGGAAGATTCACTTTGATGGGGAGCGTGCTTCTGCTCCATAGGGAAGAAATCAAGCTAAATCATTGAGAGCAATGGTGGATGTACTCATGGTGCTTCTACCGGTATTACTAGTCATGGTAATCCTTAGTGATAAACTGGGTTGAAGCCACAGGTGTTCCAAGATGAAACCGATCCACAAAGTTGTCTAGGTTCCAGGAACCTGGAAAGGAAAGAGAAAGATCTTAAAAAAATAAAAACCTCGCTCTTAGAAGTGATATGGCCCGTGATACAGTTACTCAATGGGAAATTACGTGAAAGTTTTCCCATGTGCTGTTTATTTGCTGGTAAAAATGTTTTTTTCCGCGTATGGAGCTTGGTTGAAAAGAAATGTACATTGGAAAGGAAGGCAAACCAACTGTATGGCGATATAACCGCGATGATATTTTTAAAATCAGAAATCTCTTAAAATCAGAATCTTGTGCTTCTATGCTGAACGATTTTGAAGTTTTGAAATCACTGGGTCTTTTTTGAAAAGTCTAACGCTCTAGGATACTGAATCCACAGGAGGAAAAAAAATAATAATACAATTTTGTTGTACAAAATTGTACACAATTTGAAAATTGAACACAATTTTCTGATGGCAAAGTATCTTTAACTTTCCTGCCAAGGATAACCAGAAGAATTGTGCATGCTTAACAGGGCAAAATATTCCGGAATGCTCTCTGTTACAACTAAGAAGTCTTCGTTGATTTGTGGCCATTAATTGCATTTTCACCTAGATAGGCGTGTAGTATGTTTCAACATACATATCCTTGGACTGTGCATGCCAGTTTTTCTGGTCTGACACTATAAAATGTTTCACATTTTGGCCTATGCCTTGGTTACATCAGACCCAACAGAGTTATGAAGAGGAAAGCAAACTAATTCCCACTGGATTATTTAAATGTTGGTCTTTACCTTTCGTTCCTGCTTACACTGCTTTTAGGATGTGAGATGATGTGGGGTTCTATCAGTGGTGAAATCCAATTTTTTTTACTACCGGTTCTGTGGGCATGGCTTGGTGGGCGTAGCAGGGGAAGGATATTGCAAAATCCCCATTCCCACCCCACTCCTGGGGGAAAGATATTGCAAAATCTCCATTCCCACCCCACTCTGGGGCCAGCCAGAGGTGGTATTTGCCAGCTCTCTGAACTGCTCAAAATTTCCGCTACCGGTTCTCCGACCTGCTTAAAATTTCCACTACCGGTTCTCCGAACTGCTCAAAATTTCTGCTACCGGTTCTCCGAACTGCTCAAAAATTCCGCTACCGGTTCTCCGAACTGCTCAAAATTTCCGCTACTGGTTCTCTGAACTGCTCAAAATTTCCGCTACCGGTTCTCCGAACTGCTCAAAATTTCTGCTACTGGTTCTCCAAACTGCTCAAAATTTCTGCTATTGGTTCTCTGAACTGCTCAAAATTTCTGCTATTGGTTCTCCAGAATCTGTCAGAACCTGCTGGATTTCACCCCTGGGTTCTATGAATGACTCCCAACGACCAGATATATTTTCCCTGTGACAAATGAATGAGATACAGGAAAAAGAATTCTCAGCATTCTTGTCTGATTATTTTCCAAGGATACCGGTATACTGCATATATATCTAGGGATTTTTTTACAATACACCATATCTACATAGTATTCATAGTCATCGGGAATCGGGTGGCATAAAAATTTTAACAAATTATTGTTCACTGCACAGTCAGACAGATGGTTCGACTGGGTTTGGCAATTGACTGATAGTGATGTATTATTATTATTATTATTATTATTATTATTATTATTATTATTCGCACAGTCAGCCAGATGTTCAGACTCGGTTCGGCATTTTTGTCTACTATCGAGTCCTTACCAAGGACCTGGGATAGGCAAATCTGGATGTTTGACGGTGTTACAGATATCATCACAGGATGGAAGGTGTTCCAGGTAAAGCTGCCTTCTGCAATTGACTGATGGCGAATTTGTCAATGCCTATTGTGTTCAAGTGGTGCTCCAGTTGTTTTGGGATTGCACCTAAGGCGCCTATTACTATTGGTACCAGTCTTGCTTGCTTTTGCCATAGTCTTTCTATTTCTATTTGGAGGTCTTTGTATTTTGTTATTTTCTCCAGTTCTTTCTTTTCTATTCTGCTGTCTCCAGGCACTGCCACATCCATTAGAATACTACTACTACTACTACTACTACTGCATGTTATTCTAATTTAATTATCTATAAACTAACTTGATAATGTTTTGCTTAAAGCATGAATAAAAACAGATTCAACTGGCCATTGTTTGAATCAAGGATAATAAGTTCCTCGGAGATGCCTGCTTGCTAATACCAAGATGGCAAATGAGAACTTCTCAGCTCCCTGAAAAAGAAAATGGAATAAATCAGAGCCATCAAAATCCAAGGATCCATCCAATATTACAAGAGATTTAATTTTATCCTATTTTAAATCCCATGACTTAAAATGTGACTTCTGAAGAAAAATTTCTCGTAGATTTCCCTAGTCCATATCAAGCAGCTCAGGACATCCCTGTAGATTCATAGCTGCAGATTCATAGCACTGTGTTGGTGGAAAGAATAAGAAACTTCTTTCTACAACCATCAATTTCATGTGATTAAATTCTTGATGCTCACTGTTTCATATTGTTCCAAAGCCTATTAGTTGAACATTAGCTTCTCCTTTTAATAGCTCTTCTCTATGTTGGAATTGTTGTGGTCCACCAGCAGCCTGCAGAACTGGCAGCGGAGTCGGCAGTGAGGAGGCTGAGGAAGAACATGGGCCAGTCCTGGAGTCTGGGGAAGGCTTGGACGAGGGCTCTGCGTCAGATCACCTGGGAGTGATGCACAGACTCCGGAGCCCCCAGAGTCAGACAGCAGAGAGGCAGAGGAACAGGAGGAGCCTGTTCCTAGTGCATGCATGCACAGAGCTGCCAGATGGCAAGAGCAGCTAAAGCAAAAGGGATGACTTGGGAATAAGGCCAGGAGATGATTGGCCCCTCCCATAAAGCTTAAAAGAGAAACAAAGGCACTTGGACCTTTTGCAGGAAAGCAACGTTGCTAACTCTGTTTCCAGTCGGCATCTCTTATTTGTTTCTGAACTCCATGGGGCTTTGCCAAGTAAGGCCTTTGGCAGGGTGTCAAAGAAGTTGGTGATTATCCTGAAGGACTTCTTCCGAAGGACTTTTTTTTGCAACTAATTGGGACTCAGCTGGGAATGAATGTAATTCTCAGCTGTTACAATAAAATAGGTTTTTTGGGGACTAATTGTGTATTGTAATGACTCAGTAAGCCTAGGTCACAACAGGAATCTAAACTTACATCCTTACATACAGTACATTTTGTTAGAGTTCTGAAACTCAGTTGAGCCCACACATCCATGTGTGTCTACCACAGCAATATTTTTCTGCTAGATTTCTGCTGTTGTTTTTTTTTTTTACTGGCTATGAGAAAAAAAGGACAAACATGATTTTTTTTAAAAGTAAGACTTGCTGCAAACTTTGAATGCTGTGTAGACGAAAACTGAATTTACAGCCCTAAGAAACAAGAATTGAATGAGTCTCATGACTTGTAACCTGTACAGAAAATATTTGCTGCTACACGCTGTGAAGAATTTATACCTTGGTGGCAAGCATGAATATATATGCGTGTGTCCACATGTGTTTCTAAGTCAAAAGTAAATGGAACAGAAGCACTAACAAGTAGCATCTTCCTTCCAGTCCAGGTCTAATACTGCAGACACAAGAGCTACTCTTCCAACTTCTACAGAGAAGTATAATTTGAGTTTGACATGCTAGCCATTCATAACAAGACACAGATATATTATAGTTTTTTTTTTCTTTTACTGAAGTTATGTTTTCATTTTGACTATATATACTGCTGTTCTTTGGCTGTTCATGAACATGGAAGCAAAGCCAGAAGTACACTTAGGATAACAGTTTTCCCAAACCTGCTGTCTTCTCATTCTTCTTGGGAATTCTGCAACCTGACCAGTAAGACTGTAACACGGAATTCTATTTCACATAATTTCTGGATAAAAGCAATGCCCTCTTTTTGCAATTGTTTTCCAGCATGCCCTGCTTACAGCTTCTTAACATGGGAGATAATGTACGGCCATTAGAACCTGTGACCGTTTACAGATTTATCTTTCACTAATCTGTCTAATCCAGGACTGGGATAAAATGTTTTACTACTTGAACCAAGTGCCAAAGCGATAACAGCTCCTGTTTCTCATACAGAAGCCACATGACCTGAAGTTGAATGTGAAAGCAAATGTTTGCGTCCTTAACGGTAAAGGTAGAGGTTCCCCCTCGCACATATGTGCTAGTCGTTCCCGACTCTAGGGGGCGGTGCTCATCTCCGTTTCAAAGCCAAAGAGCCAGTGCTATCCGAAGATGTCTCCGTGGTCATGTGGCCGGCATGACTCAACGCCAAAGGCGCACGGAACGCTGTTCCCTTCCCACCAAAGGTGGTCCCTATTTTTTCTACTTGCATTTTTTACTTGCTTTCGAACTGCTAGGTTGGCAGAAGCTGAGACAAGTAACGGGAGCTCACCCCATTACACGGCACTGGGGATTCGAACCGCTGAACTGCCGACCTTTCAATCGACAAGCTCACTGAACTATCGCGTACCTAAGAATATGCATAAGAATATGCGTCCTTAAAAAGCATAATTTGAAGTATGCGAGTGATATTTTATGTTCGTGATTTCTACTGGAGATAAAATATAATTCTGATATGTACTGGTTACAAGGGACTTCTCTGATGAAAGTACTCTATCCATTGTGGAGCAAAATAGAAATAGAAATAGAATAACAGAGTTGGAAGGGACCTTGGAGGTCTTCTAGTCCAACCCCCTGCCTAGGCAGGAAACCCTACACCACTTCAGACAAATGGTTATCCAATATCTTCTTAAAAACTTCCAGTGTTGGAGCATTCGCAACTTCTGGAGGCAAGCAGTTCCACTGATTAATTGTTCTCACTGTCAGGAAATTACTCCTTAGTTCTAAATTGCTTCTCTCCTTGATTAGTTTCCACCCATTGCTTCTTGTCCTACCCTCAGGTGCTTTGGAGGATAACTTGACTCCCTCTTCTTTGTAGATTCCTTGCTGATCAAAAACAGTGTTTGACCCAAGAAGCTTCAGCTGTGAGCAGTTCAGATATATCTCTGTACTAATGGATGGAGAAATGTTGTGTCAAG